GAGAACGAGTAACACCGAAAATGACGGTATCAGAACTGGCAACAGTTGCAAATATTTCCTGCCCAAACAGGCAACGTTCGGCCCACCTAGGCCCATCGATTCTTTTCGACTCCACGGAACACGGCCCAGCAGTCCAAAAATCCTAGTTACGCCATTGCGCACTAAGGGTTACTTGAAGCAAAAAATCATATCTTTTTCAATGTTAAGCCGAATTCTAATGATTCACTATACGATTGAAGATGCTATCAAAATCTTTTCCATAATTTGTTTGAACAAGAGATCATTTAAAGATATTGCAAAATTGAGATAAGATTATATATAAAGAAAACAGTGTTAAAAACAAAGAAAATATAGTGCACACTTTTCTTAAATCTCATAAACGTATTCACTTTAAGATAGAACACAATCTTCCTGCTTCATTTCTGTTTGTCTTTGTTCAATACTTGTCGTTATCATTGTCAATAATTTTAAATAAAATTGTCGTAAATAAATGGCTATTAATCTTAATATATGAAATTGATATTCATCAACAGATGCTAATGCTAATGATGTATCTTCCAATTGAGGATTTCGACACAAAAATTTGAATGCATCTTGTCGTTTACCACGATAATCGTTTAATAATTCGAGGAGACCATAACATGTTTGTATCATTGATTGTGTTTCTCTATAAACATATGTTTGTTGATCATCAATTGCATCATTTAATCCGGTTGGTTTATATATAGCTAAAATTTGCTGAGATATTTCTAAAAATTCTTTAGTTAATTCACGAACTAATGGACGATTATTATTCAATTGTTTATTTTGATCAAGTGCAATTGGAATTGGTTTTGATAATGTTCCTATAAAAATAATCTTCACAGTGTATGATTATTCTCAGAGACTGTCTTATAGCTAAGTATGCACCAGTTACAATTTTTTACCAGTTAACGGTACTTGTAAAACTGCTGATAACTGTAACTGCTCATAGCTGTAGGCAAATATTCTAGAATGATTAGTCTTGTACGATTTGCATACATTTTAGGAATGTCTCTATTCTTAAAATGTATGCAAATCGTAGACGACTAACTCGTTCTAGAATATTTGCCTACAGGTATGAGCAGTTACAGTTTTCACAGTTGCAGTTATCAGCAGTTACAGTTATGACAGTTACAGTTCGACAGTTTTACAGTTAACTGTAACTGGTGCATGTCTATTTACAGCAATGCATACTCATGAAGATAATGACTAACTTAGAGTGTTATCGATTTTTTTAACAAGATCATTTACATTTTGCTAAGCTGAATAAAACTGGTACAAAGGTTACTTATCAAATAGATTTATTCTTGCTATCCCAAACTTCTTACGTGCAAAAAATAACAAGTTTAGAAAATTTTACAATTTCCTGTGAATGAATATTCTTTTGATTAGTTATCAATAATATTGAACTCGAAACGTTTTTCACGCAAACCTTTGAAATCTCTCCATAGTATACTGTCAATCGATATTGTTCTTATCTGATCCATTTTCATTGCTGATAGAGAACAATCGTCTAATATTTGGCATAGACTAGTCAACGCTTTTATACACGATGGCATTTGCTGTAAAATGTTTAGTTGTAAATGCCGTTGAAATGAATCAATGAATGGATCAGTTTTTTCCGTCTTTTCCGTGAATACCTTACGAGAATGTGAACCAGTTACATCAACGTTGAATTGACGAGATAAGGTACCGTTAATTGATAATGATGGTGTTAAAAATTTTGACGGGGATAATGCTAGTGTTCCTACGGTCATATTGGAACGACAACGACGATTATCACGTAACTGTGATGTTGTTGTCGCTGCTATTTGACTTTTATTTATATTATATTTTGTAGTTATGAAATCACGAAGCATGATGACGTACGTACATAAAATTTGATAGAAGTTGTTCAAAAAAAGTTCAATTAATCTGTTTTATTGTATGGAGAAAACGAGCAGAGCATTTTTTCGTCAATAAGAAAATTAAATTATTGAAAAAAAACCCATCAAATATGTTTTACTTAAAAGAACTTATTGAATGCAATTTATCGCGGGAAATATATCGCAATGATAACTGATTCTTAGAAATTATCTACAATAGTCGTATTTTACTTTATCTGCTTATTGGATTGTTTTCTGTCTTAGAAATAGGGGTGAATATTATTTATCACAATCTATAAATACTACATTATAATAAATATCTTTTACGAAAAAACACAGCATATCAACAAAGATTAAGCTAATTTATACAAACAAACACATCGCTATGATTAGCAGTGAAAAAAAACAGGAATGAGAGATGCACTTCAACCACTTAAAAAAAAAAGAAAAAAAAAATTGGGTTTATTTACAAATTAAATCGATAAAACAGATCCACCGGCCATCACCGGAGCATTACCAAAATGAGATTCATTCACTGCTTTTGCTCTTAACCATTCGCATTTTCTTGACTATCAATATAATCACAATCAAAATAGATAACTGTTATTGTTATATCGTCTCGAATTGATCTTGGATTTGGAAATGTTAACGTGTCTGATAATAATTTTGAATCAAATTTTCCTTTGGATGTATATGCTAAAGCATGTCGAATTAAATGTGTTGCCGTATTTTGATCAATTGGTTGATTTTTAATTGCTTGTTGGCGAGCTAATAATAATTCATTGATATCACGTAATTTTGTTTGAGTTTGTTTATTATCTTTGGATAAAATAAAACGATCAAAACTTAATATACCTTTTTGATGATTAAATACTAGTTGAACAACGTTTTCCGCTGATAATTGATCCCAAACACCGTCAGTGGCTAATACCAAAAATTTGTCACGTCGAGTTAATTTATGTTTTGTTATTTCTGGTTTAGCTGTTAAATAAGGTGGTGTTAAATAAAACTGTGGAATAGCATCACCTTTCTTATAATAAGGTTGTACATATTCTTTTAAATAATTAGCAGGCCATTTAAATCGTATATCACCAAATGCACGAAATGGCATGAGTAAACCTAACAAACGATCACTACGTATGACAGAATGAGATTCACTTGATGGATGTTCATTTAATAAACGTTCAACTTCCGATGTATTCTTTGAATTATGATCATGAGATAAATTGATTACACGAGGATTGCCATCATCATCGATTGTACCTGAATTAGAGAGAGAGAGAGAGAAAATAGTTTGTAATCTATGTATTAATTTTAAAAAATAGATAGAACAGTTTGTGAACAGAAAATATGTATATTCTTACATTTTAATGTAATAGGATTAAATAGTGAGGTAATGAAGTACAGAACTGCTATAAACATGATTAACTAATCATAACGTATTTATTTCATTGATATTTCGACAGAATCCACTGTCATCATCAGAATGAAAAAAGTGTAAATGAGTGTGTCGAATTTGAAACTATACATAGTCAAGTATAGGTTCAAATTCGACACACTCATTTACACTTTTTTCATTCTGATGATGACAGTGGATTCTGTCGAAATATCAATGAAATAAATACGTTATGATTAGTTAATCATGTTTATAGCAGTTCTGTACTTCATTACCTCACTATTTAAATCATTAACTGCTCTTTCTCCTAACTTTAATAGGATTAACTTTGGAAAGTGAAAATAATTTTTAAAAAATATTTACCAAGAATAGCTCGTGCATCTCCACAATTGGCTATATATAAATCTCGTTCTTTGACAAGTGCTACACAAGCACATGATCCGCATGTAGCTATTTGTAATAAATCTTCATCTACTGGTTGTTGTTCAGGTGGAATAGCTTCTGCACATATATCACGATCCAATTTGACGAATGCATTTTCTAACGCGTGAGCAATATCGTTATTATCTAAATCAAATGTTGAATAAATTTCTTCAATATGTTTCACTAAATTTGTATTATGCAATTCTTTTACTTTCGAATTTCTAGAATCCTTATACGGATTGTAATATGAGTGTAATAATTGTGCAGCTGCTGCTGTTGAAGTATTCGACTGAATATTTTGTAAAATCTCTTGTAATTGTTTTGGTGATAGTAATGTAACAGCAATATAATCAAATAGACGCTGACCAACAACATCCGAACACAATGGTCCTCCGTGACCATCAAAAACACCAAAAAGATACATACTGGTATCTTTTTTATTCGCGGGTATGGAAGAAGACGAACGTAAACGTGCTTGTGCTTGTCTATCTTCAGGAGGATTATTGGCACCTGTAAAAAAAGAAGTTAATTAGGTAAACAAATTAGTTTCATGTTGTCAAAAGAAAAATTTACCTAAATAATTCACTTCATAGTAACGAACGGGACAATCCGCTTCTAAATCAATACTAGCTTCATGTGTTCTTAATATACCCGTTGCTTCTTGTGATGATAGACGTTGTTCATCGAACGTGGATTGTGGCGAATCATCATTATGAGAATCACTATGATACGATGATGAGACAATTCGAGAACATAATAACGATGAACGAATATGATTATTACGTTGCAATAAAGCGGTTATAAAAGAGCGAAACATGAAGTCTGAATAATTTATCTACAATAAAAACAAATTAAAAACAGCAGCGTACACACATGACTATGCCAAATATTGTATAAAATAGTAAATAAGATATTTCATAATACAAAAATAGATGTTTCTCTATTAGAATCAAACTTCTTTTTATCTCAAATAAGTTTCAATGATTAAACTAATTCTACTTTAATTTCAACAGCGTAAAAAAGAGTTTTACAGAAAACAATTACTATACAAAAATTACAATAACAAAGATTAGAACCATGTAGGAATGACTTTGTTACAAACGTTTGGTAACTTTATTGTAGATGGTAACCATCATTTTAACCTTTTCTTTGTCTGTCACATGTACACCATCAAAGTCATTATCAATGTTTACATTAGGATTTTTATAAATCATCGTTGATAACCTTTTAATACGTGCTGAGGCATGAAATTCTGTCACACCTGTTTCAGTTAAGATTGTTTCTAAATTTCCAATATCAATTCCACAACCAGGCATGATTAGAATGCGTTTATTAGCATATTCAGTCATTTGTCGAATAAGTTTTCTACCATAATAGGCATTTTTTTCTAAACCACTTGTTAATATTCGTTTAAATCCAAGTTCAACTAATTGATCAATTGCTTGTTTCCAGTTTGACACAAAATCGAATGCTCGATGATATGTCATTGATTTATCATTGGGTACATGTTTTATCAGACGTTTTAACGCTTCCAGATGAATAGTTCCATTTGGATTTAATGCACCAAACACATAACCGTCAACATTGTATTTTGAAAATAATTGAATTTCTTCTTCCATTACACATAGATCATAATCATCGTAAATGAAATCGCCCGAACGACATCGAATCATAACATAAATAATAAATTTAGGTAGACGCTTTCGAATTTCATTTAAAAGTCCGATAGATGGTGTTAAACCACCCGCATTCAAATCGCTGCACAATTCAATACGAATTGCACCACCATCATAAGCAGCTAGAGCAGATTCAAGATTATCAACACACACTTCCATTATAAAAGAAGAAAGTATAAGAATGCTATAAAATATATAATTTTTTCAGTTTTATTTAAGAATCATTTAATTATATCGAACTTTCGCTATTTAAACTAAAATCATCATTAGAATATGTAACTTAACATTTTTACAAATATATACCAAAAGAAATGATTACATAAAAAATATATGACGTACTGAATGCTATTCGAGAGAGCAAACTACTTATGATATTTCGAAAATGTTCATATTGAGTCACATATTCTGACGAAGATGTTAGTTGAAACATCGAAAGCTCGGTATAGTCAAATAACTTTTTAAAAAAAAATTCAAAAACATTATGTATTTTGTAGTAGTCTCATACTTTCCTCCTGTACATTTAAAATATACTGCTATTTCTTCTTTCCATTCTTTTTATTTTTGTTTTATTGAGATTCAACAGAAGAAATTAACAACAAGAAATCAAGACGACGATGATGTTTGTAAAAATCGATAGAGATATTTTCCACGATGATTAAATGTCATAAACGATGGACGATTACCAACCGTATCCCATGTTTTATTTTGCCATTCGGCTGTTATTAATATTGGCTTAAATTTACCAAAAAATTGTACAGAACCAATACAACAAGCTAAAAATGCTAATAATGTTTGAACAATTATATCGCCTGGTAATGTTTGAAATTGTTGTTCGGTTAAACGAATAAATACACGATGTTGAGCAGCTGAGTAGCCAGCATGAGCTAATGCAATAAGACCAACGATTAGTAGTAATTGTTGGCCCATATAAGTCGTTTTCGCTCTCGCAATGGATCCTTAGACTTCAACACAAAGAATAATTTTATCTAAGAACAGAAAATTGGCATGTAGGTCTTAGTGTTCGTTTTGGAGAAAGCAACATCATACAAATGAATGAATCATTGACTAAATCCTTTAAAAGGAGAGTGTTGTGCTCGTCATTGTACCTGATGTAGTAATAAAAATAAGTAAATTTTATTCCCTTGACTTTAGTTTAGGGTCTTACAAAATAGTTGTCTGTGTGTTTGTGTGTGTGTGTGTGTGTGCAAAATACGGAAAAATGGCTGTCAGATATTCTATGGGTAAGCGAATCGCAGGAGACAAAAGTAGAATATTATTTTTTACATAAGAGAGAAAATATTCGAAGAGATCATCTGAAATATCTATCGATGCAGAGAGGTAATCAACTAAGCAAACGTTTTCTGTAGGCCGGGTGGTAGATGTCGCCAGGTAGCAGTCAACTGTGACAATACAAAAAAAAGTGGTATACGGGTAATAAAATTGACAGTATATAGATAATCTATTATAACAAACCGATTAGAAATACTTCCAACCTCGTTGGGATCTGCAGAGGGTGTGCAGAAAACCTTTTAGCTTTATATTACATTAGATGGTTTTCCGGTGGAATCAGAGAAGTTCATAGCATTTCTTATCTATACTGGTTGCGAACGCCGACAGAAGGGAAGCATGAGGATTGTTTTAAATTCAGAAATAGTTTTAGACCTCTTCAGATTTTTGCTCTTTATATTCATATTAGATTCGGAACCTTACACATGAAAACAGAAAAAGTCCAGAAGATGTCTTAGGCAGGTCTCCAGCGAGCGCCGACCGAAGGGAGGTGTGAGCATTGTTTTGACTTCAGAAATATGTTTAGACCTCTACAGATTTTTGATTTATATATGTATATCAGATTACCGCCTTATACATAAAAAAGAAAAAAATCCAGAAGATGCCTTAGTTAGAGAGCCACAGCGAGCGCCGACCGAAGGAAGGCGTGAGTATTGTGTTCGATTTCTAAGTCACCAAAGGGCGTTCGCTTGCGCAGATCCAACTTAATAAAGTCAAGGGACCGAGCGAGTGGAGACGAGTGTTACCTGGTCTATCTAGGGTATTACAAAATGGTTTCTGTGCGTGTGTCTGTGCACAACATACGAAAATATGCCTGTCAGATATTCCATGGATAAGTCAATCACAAGAGAGAAAAACAGAAAATTATTTTTTATAGAAGAGGGAAAATATTCAAAGAGATGAATGAAATAATATCTACTGATGCAGAGAGAAAAAATAGCGAAGTAAGCTTTTTCTGTACTTGTGCGATAGATGTCGTCAGAAAGCAGTCAATTTCGATTACATTAAAAAAAGTCATCCACGGACGGATAATAAAAGTTACAGAATATAGATAATCTACCATGGCGAATCCATCAGAAATACTTGCAGCCCCCCTTTGGATCTTCAAAAGATGTTCAGAAAACTTTTTAGCTTTATATTATATTGTGCGGTTTTTCTGTGGATTCACAGAAGTTCACAACATTTCTCAGTGATGCTGGGTTAAGGTACACTAAGACTAAATGCTAAGACTGAGTTTATCGTCTTTTCTCATTGGGTTCGTCCTATTTCAGTGAGAGAGTAACGATAGTCTTTCTTATTCTTCTCTCTTAAGAATTTATTCCCTTGATTTTAGCCTAGGGTCTTACAAAATAGTTGTCTATCTGTGTGTCCAGAAAACGTTTTAGTTTTGTTACATTGTCCGCTTTTTTCGTGAAATCAGAGAAGTTCACAATATTTCGCACTTTTCGTGGGTGCGAACGCTGATCGAAGGAAGGCGTGAGCATTGATCTCAATTCAAAAATCTTTTTAGACTTCTGGGGATCTCTGGAGGGTCTCGTAGAAACCTTTTAGCTTTACATTATATTAGGAAGCTTACACATCAAGTCAAAGAAAAATTCATGATATATTAAGACTAAGACTTTTATTCACGAAAAGTGAGAGCCATCAAAGGTCGCCGACCTGTAATAACAATGACTCAAGCCAAACAACACCAGAAAAGTAATAATAAAAAAAGAACAAAATAAAGAAGACAGTTAAGGTTAGAACCAGAATTTTATTTTAGATAGTCCTCTAGCGAACACAGACCGAATGGAGGTCTTTATCCTGGATTCAAAGTCATAAAAGATCATTCGCAGATATAAGTTCCTAAAGTCAAGGAACCGAACGAGTGCAAAGTGCAGACGAGTTACATGTATGTTTATTATCCTTTCTCGACTAGTAACAATAAAGATAATTAGCTCTCCACAGGTGTCTGAGGTTACAAATCCGTTTTCGTTCTTCTCAGAGATTTGTGTCATGGTTCAACCGTTTACTTCAGGAGTAAAACACGCTAGTACTGTTTCCAGCATATATCACTCCCGGTGCCACTATCATTGTGAACGTATTTAATGAGTTGGGAAAAATACTATCTCAGACGAGACTTGTATTTTCGTTCAAAAAGAGAGAGATCAATGACATCGTCAAAGGACGTTCTATGATGACTGTCATCCTTGACTATCAGTCAGTCTAAATATAAAACAAAAATTTTGAAAGATTATCAGCGATATTCGTTTTTTACTGGCGGTAGTTTGAAAATACAACGCGATTTACAGCTGGTATTTCGTCGGTTTTCCAGACATGGTTTTTTTTAAAATCATATCACCGGATCGAAAAATTTTAAAAGCTTGTTCGGTTAAAACCGATTGCAGATTCGTCTTCTCCATGGTTGATTATGTGGTACGCGATAACTTCTGGATCGGGGTACTTTAGAAAAAATTTT